TAACTTTGCAAAATTAAATTTAACTCAAGCAAATAACAACTAAATGCATTTCTAATTACTATTATCAAATATTTATAACATAAGTACATCTCAACTAGGTTGACACCTACTTTTCTTATAATTTATAATTTAAGTACATCCCAACTAGGTTGGCTCTCTCAACTCCTTTTTTTCAAATTTTCAAAATTTTTTTTCATGGCAGCGGATTAATTGCGGCCCGTGAAGGTGCAACCCGCGAAGCCTGCGGGTCACACCTCCTTAACCCGTGAACCGCCCGCTCGGGTCACTGGTCGACCCGCGGTCCCGATCGTCCGGGCCGATTTTCACGGGTCGGCCAGCCCGTCCATCTTGATACCTCTAACCATACACCACCACCACAATCCAATCGCAATGCCGTCGCAACTTCGCAGCAACCAGGTATCGCCGCGAGTTCGCAGCAGTGCTTGGAAGTGTCGGGCAACTATGGAGAAACCGCACCATTTTCTGATTTTGATTTCTCAGGTAGAGTAGAGAGAGAATGGAATAGAGAGATGGAGGAAAGAAAAGGGGCGACAGTGAGAGAATGGGAGGTAGAGTAGAGAGAGGGAAAATGGAGTTGATTAAATAATTAGAGTTTTGGTGTGTATTATTGGGTATAATGAATTTGTATATTTAATTTTGTAATATAATTATTAAAATTTTAAAATTTCAATTATCTGATTTTTGAAATAAAAACTTGTTAATCTGAATTTTGAAATTGAAAGTTTAAAATTCTGGTTTTATGTAATTTCTTCTTCTTTTATATGTTTTGTAACACTGTTTTTATTTTTTTAACAATGTGTAATTAGAAAATAAAGAAAAATTATTGATCTACATACAAAAATATTTTATTGAAAAATTATGTAATTGTAAATAAGTAAAGGAAAATTAAGTTCTAAAAAAATTTCTCCAAGCATGAACTTAGGGGTGTATTCAATTGAAAATTTTAAAGATTTCTATAGACTTTTGTAAGTGGATGACTTTTGTGGATTTTATGGACTTTTAAGTGACTTATATGGATTTGTCAAGAATTAAAAAATTCTTCCACGGACTTTTGTAGATTTTATTTAAAGATTTTTCATCTATGAAAAATTACAATTTTTCTTACTACCTTAACATTTTCGAGAACCATGAGGTCACAATTTTCTTAGGTAAAGTCACTAGTAACAACCTAATCATTCAATTTTGACGCAAACAATGAAAAACTTTTACATTAATTTCTAAGAACAAAACCGAAATTTTTTCAT